TAAGGATTGTTACTGTACGGCATTCAGATAGCAAAACATTTGCAGTTGAAGTCCTCTTTAAATGGTCTTCTGATCATTAAGCTTACAGTATTTTCATTTTTCCTGATTATTTGGAGCAACCTAACTTTGAAATACTAAAATTATTTTATACTGGGTATAGTGGTGCATGCCTATAATCCCAGCACTTTGAGGGTTAGGCAGGAGGATTGTGAGTTTAAGGCCATCCTGGGCTATGTAAAGAGATCCTGTCTCCAGGATTAACTAGCCCTTGATCTAATTGAGTGTCTGTTACTTTATTCCAATTTAAAAAATTATTATGCAATATAAATGTGTTATAGAGAATTTTATCTAAACTTCTTCAGTAAGTAAGAATTAAGTAGAGATACCTTCTCAAATCTATGAGAATGCAGGATCTTGAGTAAAAGGTGAAGATATTTTAATGTATTTTTTCTTTTGACAGGATCCCTCTGTGTAGTCTAGACTTACCTCAAACTTGTAATCCTCCTGCCTCAGCCTCCTGAGTGCTGGGATTGTAGGTGTGTTCACCAACCCTGCTAAACTATCATATTTCTAATAGAAGTTCCTAGGGTATTGTCTAAATGGCCACTGTGAGACACATAGCATCTGAGAAAACTTTAAGTGTCTGGCGAGTTATTGCTTGTGGTCTCTCAAATTCCTTATGAGGATCGCTGCATTTGGGAGTCATCTTTGCTGTTTACTATCCCTGCAAGTCTTGCCATGAATGTATGTATCTGAGCCTCCTCAGAATGTGTTCATTTCCATTTCTCTTTTACCCACTCAGTTAGTAACAGTCTGCGAACAGTTACTGCTTGTATGTTTTCTCCAGTGAAACTTAGGCAGTCCCTCTGGTTTCTTTACTTCCCTGGTATAAATGACATCTGCTTTGTCATTAGTAGTTTAGTTTCATTTTCATTCAGTTTGGCAGGTATCTCCTGACTGCTTGTTGTAATGATGTGTGAATTTGGAGGGACAGGGAAGTTTACTGTGGTCAGGTTTCCAGAGTAGATGATCCTGGACCATCTTGAAAAACAAGTGAGTGTTTCTGATGAGTGGAAGGGATGAAGGCAACGAGAGCAGCCAGAGGACTCATGAGATGACATGGTTCATGGCTGTGGTGTGGGGAAGTAGGAGAGAGAGTCATGGGCCGGGTCACTGAGAACTTTATATGTCACATACTCGGACATTTATTCTGTGAGTGAAGCTGGATTTTGAGTGATTCTGTGGAGTAACAGGTTGCCATTGAGGTATTTGACATGGTAATGCTTTGTATGGCAGAATTTTAACTTTACGCCAATCATTTTAGCAGCTCTGTAATAACTTTGAGATGAGATGGGGCAGATGAGTTAAATTCCTGAATTTGGCATATTGATTTCGATACTGTTAATAGGGATAGAGTTGAAAAAGTAAGAAAGTGTTCATAGTTAAAGAATTGCAGCTTGAGTGGTGCACCATAGCTCATGCTTGTAATCCCTTGTACTCCAGAGGCAGAGATCCGGTGGATTGCAGTTCAAAGCCAACCTGAGCAAAAGAGTAAGCGAGACCCCATGTAAAAAAAGTAACCAAAGTAAAAAGGGTTGGGGACGTGGCTCCGGCGATAAAGTGCCTGCCTAGCAAGTGCAAGTACCCGAGTCCACATGGACAGATGGATGGAAGGAAAACAATACAAATTGAAGGTGGCTGGTGAAATGTGAAACAATTGCCACTAATTGACAGAAACAGATTTTAGAAAAGTTAACAACTCAGTTTTGAGCATGCTGGAATGGTTCCTGTAGTGTTTTCAGATGGGAATGTCTAGCACACAAGTGGCTACAGGAATCTGAGGCCCATTTGAGGGTCCTCCCATTCTGACAGCAGTGCAGGCAACATGGGAAGAGTGTGAAGTTGTCAACACTAAACCTAAGAGGAAAAGCCAAAAGAGGAGCCTAAGGAAGAAACTGAGGAGGAGAAAGCTCTGTGTCTTTGACTGATTACTCTCAAAAGGCAGCCAACTTTATCCCTTTTGTATGTTTAATAATACCTTGAATAGTAAAGGTTTTAAGTTTGTCACATTTTGTTCAGCAGGAAAACATTTCATTTACTTTGAGATTTCATTTCATGTACTTGATAAGAACTATTTTTCAATATAATTTCTTGAGTTCTTAGTGTGTACTAGGCACTATATTAAATACTTAGTCAAGTAACCTCATTTTTCTTTAAAATAATCTTGCAAGGGTAGATTTTATTTCTTCTATTTTGTACTTGATGTACCTGAGGATAAGGAAGATCAAATAGCTTGATCAACTTTTTCACACACCTGCATAAACCCAAAATTCAGTCTCCTAACTACTGATGACCTAGTATATGTTTAGACATCCCCCTCCAAAAAAAAAAGCTATTGTAACATCTCTTACATTGGTTCCATTTTTGAAGCTACTTTGACCCAAAGACATTGATTTATATTAAATTCTGCTCTGCTGGTCTCAGGTGGATGCACATGCTGGTTGGCGTCTCTATTCTTAAATGCAGTGAGGTCTTACTCAGTTCTTTTTATCTTTCTGTGTCACTGTTTCTTCATTTTTCTATTAGCAGTTTCTGTTAAATGGTTCCTAAATTGCCTAAGGCTCTAAAATCCTGTAATCCCTTTCATTTTTAAAGACTCCGTACAGAGGTTACCTGAAGTCCACTAATGGGTGTTAGAGATTCACAGGGTACATTGTGTGGGTTTCATGAGCCAACTAAAATGATAAAATATGATGCGTGTGTGCATTTTTCTAAGAATGCAATTCATAGATTTTTTTCAGATTCTCATTGTTTCTTAAAACTGATTACTCACCCTCTACTCCAAAAGTTAAGAGATGTAGCTCCAGAAGTATTTTGTGTATTCTAATAGACTGTGGTCCCTGCAGAGTAAAACTGTCTTTAACAGAGGCCTTTCTATTCTTCAAAGTAAGGAATACATTTATGTATATTAAAAGAAATGGTTACTTTTTGGGTATTTGAACTTACCATATTATACCCAACTTTTTTTTTAACTTTAACAGTTAAAAACAAGGTCAGGGATATAGCTCAGTGAGAGAGTACCTGCCTAGCATGGACAAGGCCCTGGGTTCAAACCCTAGCATCACATATAAAAACAAAAACAGAAACCAAAGTCTATCAAATAAAATAAGCAGAAGTTTGATTCTGCATTGTGATAAATTAAAGAACACTGAGTTTTAAAGAGTGACTCAAATGTGCTTCACAAACATATTTCCCTACTGCATCTTCCTGTAAGAAGAGAGTGTTTGAGGCCTGTTTGGAAAGATAAGAAAGGAAGCACAGGCATAATGCTAAAGTTGGAACCAGTTAAACTAAGTTTGTATCTTTCCAGCATGTTTCTACTAGTCTTGAATCCCTTTGTATGAATTTCCTGCCTTATCCCAGCAGCAAATCTTTTCATTTTGAACCTTGCTATGGTAGTATGGAGGGACAAAGATAAAGAAGACATGCCCTTTTCATATTATTACCCTGCACCTGTGAATAGGAAAGACAGAAATGCTAAAAAGTGAGATAATATTCTCATTTTAATATGAGAAGGTTTGTAAGGTTTGGCAAATGGCTCAAGGTCATAAGCTGTTAGTCAAGCTGGTATTTGTACCTAGTTGGTTGACTCAAAACCACATTTGCCTTCCATTTTGTCACAGTGCCCTTCATTTTATTTAGGTTTAATTTGTCGTGCCTCTGCTGATTACTGAAGTTGAGGGCCAGGGCAAACAGATAGACAGATATATGTATTTCACTTCAGGAAGCTTTCTGAAGAAGTAAAAGAAGGGGCTTGAGCTCAGGGCCTACACCTTGAGCCACTCCACCAGCTCTTTTGTGTGATAGGTTTTTTGAGACCTGGCCTGGCTTTGATCCTCCTGATCTCTGCCTCCTGAGTAGCTAGGACTATAGGCGTGAGCCACCAGCGCAAGCATGCTTTATTCTCTGCAGGTTTAGAAGATGAGAGAAGGGACTAGTATTTGCTTGCACTTAAACTGTGTGAGGTGCTGCTGTGTGACTCTAAAATAGGTAAGCACTTAATTCACAAAAGCCAGTAACAGATTTGGTATTATCCCTAATCTTTAAAACTGAGAAATAATAAATTGCCAAAGATTGCATAGATAGTTGATAGTAACAAAGGCAGACTTGAAACCCTTTGTTGGGAAAGATTAGACAGGGTTTACATCATGCCTACTGACTTAAAATTTAACAAATCAAATAGTTCAGTCTGGGCACCTTTGGCTGTTAGTGTGATTTATAAACACTGAACCACCAAAATAATACTTACATCTTTATTTTTTAAACGCTTTATTGGAAACTTTTTTTTTTGCTGTATCAGGTTTTGAACTCAGGGCTTCACGCTTTCTAGGCAGATGCTCTACTGCTTGAGACCTGCCTCCAGCCTGTTCATATCTTTTTAATAAGCTTTTCATTGTAAAAGTAATTATTTAAGCTGCAGGATCCTGTGGTGTAGGGAGATTTTCAGTTGACAGAATAGTATGACAGACATAGCAATAGGTCATAGGACGGACTTTGAGCTGGGAGTCAGGTCTGAGCCCTTTCAGCTCCAACTTTCCTACTGACTTGTGTGCTGTACAAGTTTCTTTTGATTTCACATTCATTTTGTCACATGAGAAGGTTAATTATTCCCAATCTCTTAACAATTACAAAGTTACTCTATCAGAGTTTTTATGTGCTCCCAGTGTAACTATCAAAGAATTTTTAGAGATGGAAAGGCTTTAGAGACCACTTAATTGAATGCTCCCCTATGACAGATGAAGAAACCGACACCCTTGGATGGTGTCGTGCTTTAGACATTTCCAAGCTCTATCTCATACAGTAATTTCATGCGAGCCTCATTGTGCTGCAGATCTTCATTGTCCCCATAACCAAACTGTATAGGCTCAGGGTCACATAGCTGAGTCTGGACTGAGTGTGATTCTCAACCTATGGTTTACCTTGTTTTCTTGCTTTCACAGAACTAATTATATCCTTGTGATGAAGTCCTGTTGCATGAGAATTCAGTGATTGATGCAACAAAGAGGTAAGGAGGTGGCAAAAACCAGGGTCTGTGAGTTGACTGAATCTTGGTTTTCATTCCGGTAGTAGGAATAAACATGATTGATTTTTAATTTCCTTGCGTTTATCAGTATTACTATTTTTTTTATCCATAGCAAAATAATTCAAGGAAACGATATCTTTTTTTTTCTTTTGTCAGTCCTAGGGCCTTGTGCTTGCCAGGCAGTCACTCTACCACTTGAATCATGTCCCCAGCCCTTTTTGCTTTAGGCATTTTTTGAACAGGATGTCACATTTATGTTCAGGCCAGCCTGGATTACGACCCTTCTATTTATGCTTTCTGAGTAGCTGGGATTACAGGCGAGAGCTACTGCATCCTGAGACCGTTCTTTATAAGTTGTAGTTAAGTAAGAAGAACTTAAAGCCATAATTCAAAAGGAAATCCTGAAAACAAATGAGTTTTTGTGAGAAGCTAAGCTTTACACAAAATTATTTAATTATTTCATTGCTTTTATTGATGTGATAATTTTTTTTTAATTTCTACTGTGTAGTTGTGGCGGTATTTTAGGATATTACCTGTCTCTAAGCTATTGATCTTGCTGAGTACAACATTGGTAACTTTTTGCAAATAATATCTCTTTTTAGTTAGAAAGAAAAGTAAGTTTTAACTTGTATATGGGTATAAGCGATTTTTCTTTTTCCTTTTTGGCTGTACTGGGGTTTGAACTCAGGGCCTCACACTTGCTAGGCAGACACTTTACCACTTGAGCCACTCCGCTAGCCCTTTTTTGCATTGCGTATTTTTGAGATAGGGTCTTGTAAACTATTTGCCTGGGCTGGCTATAAATCGTGATTCTCCTGAGCTCTGCCTCCTACTGAGTAGCTAGGATTATAGGCAGGAGCCACTTTTTGGCACCGGCTGGTTTTTCTTTTAAAATTTTGGTCCCCAAATTGTCCTTCCTTTAAAAGAAATTGATTTTCTACATTGTGTGATGTTATGGTGCTTTCTCTGCAGATAAGAAAATTGGATCATTAACGCAATCTCTCAGTTTTATTTGATATTAAAGTTTTTAAAGATGATAAACTACATGTGCTCTACAGAACTAATAAATGAAGATGGATCTCCAGATGGTTCTAATCAAATAAGGAACCAGTGAAGGGTGGAGTTGCTATAGAACGAAGCAACATTACAAGATTTTTACAAGATTTGACTTAGAGAAGAAAAACATATCATGTCCTTCTGGAGTCTGATTTTCTAGAGTCCTTTTAAGGATGCTCTGGCCCTGCTACACTAATGTTCTTTCCACATGCCCTCCTCAGCCCAGTGTCTTAGCCGTGACAGATCCTCAGAGTTCAAAGAAATGATGTTTGATGCATAGAGCTGGGTTTTGGTTCTTGGCTTTGTATTTGACATGTACAAGACGTTTTTTCAGCCATTGCTTTATGGTGCTTGAAAATAAAAAATGAAGGGGCCACTTAATAGTAGTTGAATTTTGGTGTTCATTTTGAGATAACTCAGGATCTAGTTTATAGCAGACTTCAAACACCTGACATAAAGTTTTAATTAAATTGTACCTATTGTAACATGGTTGTGTCTTTCTTGCAAGACCATACAGTTTTAAGGACTGCTGTTAGCTTCTTGTTAACCAGCTGTGATTTAGTGGTCTTAATAAAATTGTGATAATTTAGCTGAGAGCATAGAGTTTTTAGATGACTGCACTTTTTCCTATGATTTGTGAGTTTCCCTTGTTTGGCTTTAGGGTTAAAGAATTCTTCATCTAGAGTCAGCTGCAAGCCAGCCAGGCTTCCAGTCTGGTGTCTCATTCATATTAAAACATTCCCTTGGTACTCCTATCTAGCCTTGTGACTCAGAAGGCATGCTTTTAATACATAAGGCTTTTTAATTGTTTCAACTATTTATTTCTATAAATAATTGAAGCATTAACCTTTTTCCCCACTCATTGACAAATCTGGTAGTATTAAGCAAAGTATTTTGTCTAGAAATTAACTGGTTCCCTATTGATATAGGTTCATTTCTATGTAATTTGGTTTCTGTGCCAGGGTACTTTCTGAAATAATTTTAATTCTTAGTAGACCTATGGGAAGTTTGAGGAGCTCCTGGATCCTTTTTGTGATGTTCTGTTAGTAAATTGGAGGATAGTGATAAAGGAAATATGAAGATGTTGAATTCTGTGTTTGTATATGTATGCATGGTTTTTTGGTATGTGTTCTAAACACCTAGGAAATTATTTGATTTACAGCTTCCTTTCTGATCAAGTTTTTGGCAGTACTGGGGTTTGAACTTGGGGCTTCATATCTGCTACACTGGCACTCTACCACTTGAGCCACATATCCAGCCCTTTTCTGTGTTATTTTTGAGATAGTGTCTCGCTTTGGCTAGGGTCAGCTTGGACTGCGATCCTCCTATTTTACACTTCCTGGTGTAGCTGTGATGACAGATGCAGGCCACCACACCCAGCCATTAGTTAAGATGGGTTCTTGTGACGTTTTTGCCTGGTTGGCCTGAAACCACAGTTCTCCCAGTCTCCATCTCATAAGTACCTTGGATTACAGGCTTGAGCTAACACACCCAGCCTTCAACAAGTTATTTTAAAGTTTAACATAGTGATGAAGTTGTAGGGAAATCTTGATTAGTTTTCCTCTTTCAGGTGTATCACTACTTAACAATTAAATGATTCAGTTTTCCTCAGGACATCATTTTATATCTTACTATTACATTTGAAAGAATTAAATGACTTGATTCATATTTTCAAAAATAGAAATGTAGGCAGTAAACAAGAATTACAGGATCTTTTTGGTCTGCGTTTTCAAGATCAGAATACTTTGTTAGCATCTACACATGCTACCTTTGTTTTTCTAATTCTCAAAATGAGAAGATTGAATAATTTTCACAAGTATTCAAAATCTTTTCTACAAGAAAACCAGAGGCTATTAATTATAGTTCCTTTTCTTTGAAGCCTGAATGGATTTACATTTAAAATTATATGAACTGTCTCGCTAGCTTTGCTCATTCTTATATATAAATAACATTTCAATATAAGATTTGTTGGTCTGAAGTGTTTCTAATTTGCAGATCTTCTATAGGAATAGAGAAAGAATGCAGAAGAATTAGGGGATTCTAGATTGTCCAGACAAGGTTAACAAAAATGTACTGGGCTGTATTAAGTGAATTACATAAAAGTGGCTTGCATTCTTTTCTGCACTAATGTAAATATCACAGCTTATAAAATTAATAATGGCAGGCATCATTTTGCCAGGAGCAGGGCTATAGTGCAGGTCTGACGGGATGAAGGAAATAAAATCTACAGTCTTTACTGTATTAGTGAGGCCTGATTATGCTAAAGAAGAAGGAGCATTTGCCAAAGACCGTCTGCCCAAAGTTAGTAAGTAAGGTCAAATGTCTAGAGCCATTAAAAGTGACATAAAACCAATGATAGGGAATCTTAAAAGATAGCCATATGGTCTGAAGCAAGTTTATAGAATCCACTTGAGTATGTAGAAATGTATTATGTTCTTTTTTATTCAGAGGTAAAAGTTTAATAGAGATACAGAATAGAAGTAGGTTTTAGATTAGAACAAAGCTTTAGAAATTACTTTGACAAAGAGAAACCAAGGGTGAGAAATTAAATTACTTACTCCAGCATTATATAGATGCGATAAATTATGACTATAATACTCTTCACTTATCAAATAATTGAAGATAGAATTTGGAATATTATGAGGGGAAATGATTTTATTGCTGTTTACTTTTTTTTTTTTTTTTTTGGTGATACTGGGGCTCGAACTCATGACCTCACACTTGGTTAGGTAGGCGCTCTACCACTTGAGCCTCTCCTCTGACCCTAATTTTAAAATTTCATATACAAGAAAATTGACTTTTAAAAAATAAGTTCTGTGATATTTAACACATACCCAGATTCATGTACCTTTCACTATAAATGAGACATATAGTCCAATTGCCTCAGAAAACTGTTTCAGGCTTTTCCTTTTTTGGTCAAAACCACTCTCTACACCTAACCTCTGGTACCTGTTGAGCTGTACTCCTTTAGTATATCTTTGTTTATTTCAGAATATTGTATAAATGAAGTAAAAGGGTGTTAATCAATATCGATATATGTGAAGTATCACGCTGATACCCCCTTAGACAATCAATATACACTTAAAAAAATGAAGGACAGGAGAGTAAAACAGGTCCTGCCCAGGAGAGGGTAAAGGAAGGTAAATATGGTCAATGTACTTTGAATATGTATTCAAAAATTGAACAATGAAACCTGCTGAAATTGTTTTAGGAAGGGGAGAGGGAATAAGGGATAATGATGTAAGAGGTAAATCTAATTAAGCTTTGTTGTAAGCACATACATAAGTGTCACAAAGAAACCCCCCTGTACAACTAATCATAAGCTAATAAAAATGCTAGTGCCTTTCATATAAAATGTGTCAGTGGAATAGATGATGTTGCCAGTGGAATAGATGATGATATTCATGTAAATATCTGGTTTGGTATTCACTTAGTGAATTTGTGATTGGTGAGTTATACCCCAGGCCAGGGTGAGAAACAGCACATCAACCCTGCTATTATTACCCAGTCCTGCCAGAAAATAGGGAATAATTCAACTGAAAGACTTCAGGTGATTAAAACCTCTAACCAAGGACTCTACTTCATATGAACAAATCTCAACTCAGAAACACAAGAAATATGAAAAAACATAGCAACATGACCCCTCGAACTACTAACGACCACACAACAAAGGATCTCAATGATGGTGAAGTTGGTAAAATCACAAATACTGAACTCAGAAGAATAGTAAGAATGGTCAGCAAGATGAAAGAGGATGTGTATAAGCACATTAATGAGGGCTGGAGGCATGGTTCAAGCGGTAGAGCATCTGCCTAGAAAATGCAAAGCCTTGAGTTCAAACCCAACAACCACAAAACAAAACAAAATCCCACCTCAGTGATATCACAGTTAATACAAATAAATAGTTAAATGAAATAAGAAAGCCA